CGCTCGCCCTTTAATGCCCCTCCTCAGTGGTGGCCTTTGCTTTGGGGAGCTGGGATGGGGAGACAACGATTATGCTGGGAGAGCCCCTAAAAAGCAGAATGAGAAGGTTTCTTTTCTGGGGTCTTCAGTTTTCAGAGTGAAAACCCTCGAATTTGTTGGCACTTGGGGCAGGGGAAAGGTTCCTCGTTACCTCGTGGTCTGAGCAACAGGGGTGGCAGGTCTCTGGTTCCATTTAGAGACTTCCAAGGAGGCCCCTGTTCTCATCCTCATCCTTCTGTGGTATTCCCAGGCTTGGGGGCAGATAGTCCGTCCCCTCTGCCCACTGCTTTATCAGTCACTACTCTACTACTAATTGACTCATTCATTCATTCAATATTTTTGAGAGCCTACTATGTGCCGGGTCCTATTCCAGGCTCTGAGACATAGCTGTGAATAAAGCAGGCAAAATCCCTGCTCCTAGTGGGGATAGATGGACGTGAGCGAGCTCCAGAAGTTAAACCTATGGTGTGTTAGAGCATAATAAGGATCCTGGAGAACATCAGGACCATGTCAGAGGGATCGAGGGTACTGGGGGTTGGGAGTGGGCATTGGGGTTTTAAGTAAGGGGCTCAGAGTAAGTCCTATTGACAAGGAGACGTTTGAGCAAAGGTTTGACTCTATCTTCTTCTTTTCTATCATATGTTGATGTCTGTTAGGCGCAGCTGACCGCATTTTCTTCACTGTTAAGCGTTTATGCTTCTCATTCCTTGACTGTCAGTTTTGTGAGCTCCCAGGAGGGGAAGGTGCGTGTGCTCAGTCTGCCACCTTCCAGTCGCAGGCCTGGTCTTCTGACGGTGCATCTGACTGAAGGTGTGGCTGGGCCGGGAAGGGCCTTGCTGCATGGTGGTGCAGCAGCCAAGCCCAGGCCGACTGCATGCCTGCAGGGGAGGGAGGAAGAGCCCAGGACGTGGAGCGGGACGCAGGCTGACTCTGGGCAAGTGACTGCCCTCTCTGGACCTCTGTTTCCCAAGGGGTAAAAAGAAGGGCTGGCCTGATTTACACCTTCTCGCTCCTTCCTTCCCAGATCAGATCATCTAGGATACCTACCCAACACCCTCTGCCAAGCCCTTGGAGTAACCACTGAGGGCCAGAGGAGCTGGAGGACTGAGTTCTCTAAGTCCCTGCAGAGGGCGCTGGAAGCTTCGGGGCCTCCTGAGTAGAAGCCTTTGTGAACTCATGGAAGGTCTGAGACGGTATCCCTGTCCTCCTCTGACCCTGGAACTCACTCACGGGACGATGGAGAAAGAAGACACATGTCTAACGAGGAGTCTTGATGTGTCTGCTCCTGTCATCTTTTCTTCATCCCCCAGTGAGCAGAGAGGTTGACTCCCACTCCCACCTTACAAAAGAGGAAACGGAGGCTCCAGAGACAGCAGTGACTTGCCCAAAAGTCATGCATGAGAAGTGTTAGAGTCTGTCCTCTGCTGCCTTAGAACGTGGCCCTTTCTTAGGATGGGAAGAGAGTCTTCAGTGTAGGAATGATATTAGAACGACTATAGGACACTGTCCACTGCAGGTGACAGAAATCCATCTCAGACCGGCTTAAGAGCAAAACGAAATTTATCAGCTCACTGATTCAGTCCTTATAGGCTGGGTTAGGCTGTGTGCAGTGTGATGGATCGCTTTTGTGTGACCTTTCTTGACATGGTCTTGTAACTCCCACCCAGGTGATGGGGCAGGACTGTGCAGATAGGGCAGTTGTGGCCCACTAAAGGGATTGGTCAGTTTTGTCATCCCACTGGGCCTGAGGTGAGCCATCCCCAAGGTGGAAGAGAGAGGATATGCCACCAAGGAAGGAGAGCCAGAGAAGCGGTGGCAGAGAAACAGCAGCAGGAGAGACCGGTAGGAGACGGCGCAGTGGGCTTCCTGCCCACGCAGGAGCGAGAAAGCTGAGCACCTTGGGGCCGAGGCTTACTCGTAGACTGGGATGCCTCTGGGTGTTTATTAAAAAACCGAACCAAACCCGTTGCCGTCGAGTTGATTCCAACGCTTAGTGACTCTGTAAGACAGAGGAGAACTGCCCCATAGGGTTTCCAAGGAGTGGCTGGTGAATTCAAACAGCTGACCTTCTGGTTAGCAGCCAAGCTCTTATTAGCAGAGCTAAAAGAGCTTTGTAACACTTGCCTGAGCAGGGCAGAGGCCGAGGGGCCAGGGAGAGGGGTGCCTGTGGCACAGCTGGGAAGAGGCTGTCCTGATGGAGGAACTGTATCCTGAGTATTCCTGAACCTGAATTGTAACCTGTTGCTTCCCTTATAAGCCCTATAATCGTGAGTATTGTCTGTGAGTTCTGTGTGGCCATTGCAATGAATTATCGAACCCAGCAGAGAAGTGGAGATTACCGTGGGAGGGACTATTGGTGTCAGAATTGATAAAGATGGCGGAGAGAGAAGGTTATGTCTGACCTCCACTCATAGCAATCAGCCTTGGGCTGTTGATCTGGATTCTCCTTCCCCCTTGTGAAGTTGGAGAAGGTCAGATGCCCCCCACCCCACACCATGCCATTTTTACACTGTGGTAACAAACAGCCCCCAAATCTTATGGCTTAGAAAAACAAAGGATTCATTTCTTGCTTACAACACATGTCCACAGCAGGTGAACTAGAGGTCTGTCCTGCACCTCCTGAGCGCAGGACCCAGGGTGACTGAGCAGCCACCATCACGAACATCACTGGACACTGTGGCACAGAGGAAAAACACCCCAGAGGGCATCGCAACTGTCAATTAAATGCTCTGATCTAGAAGTGACACTTCTGTTCACAACTCATTGGCCAGGTCTGGTGACATGGCCCCATTCAACCACCAGGGGCCAGGAGTGCAGTCCTGCCATGTGTCCAGAAGTCCAAGAACTGGAAATGTTTGTTGAACAGCATTCATGACTTCCATACTCATGTATCTAACAGGCCAGAAGGAATGGGAATATAGTTTCAGGCATGGCTGGATCTGGGGGCTCAAGAGGTATTGCCAGGAACGTGTCTCCATCCCTTAGCTCTACTTTCCTGTGTGATGGCTTCATCTCAGGCAGACTCTGATGTCCCTCAGCACATCTAAGTTTAGTCCACCCTACAGCTCAGCAAGCACAGCAGAGAGTATGCACCAGTTTGGGCCACGTATCTGTCTCTGAGCTGGTACTGTGGCCAAAATAACCAAAGCCGTTATCGTCGAGTCAATTCTTACTCATAGCGACCCTACAGGACGGAGTAGAACTGCCCCATAGAGTTTCCAAGGAGCAGCTGGCAGATTCGAACTGCCAGCCTTTTGGTTAGCAGCCGATCTCTTAACCACCGTACCAGGTACTGTGGCCAGGGGGATGAAATACTCTATTGGCCAGGCCGGGGTCCTGTAGCTACTCCCAGAGCTGAGGGTCAGACACACCACAAGGATGTTGCCTGGGCCAAAGCAATGGGCATCCACGGGTGTTTGTGAAGAGTTTCTAAACTCTTGATCTACATTTCTCCCAGAAGCTCAGGGTGAGAAAGAGCTGGAATTGGGATTGGGAGACCAGAGGCTAAGTTCTCACTCTGGCCATTAATTTATCGTGTGACCTCAGACAGGTCACTGGTCCATTCTGCACCTTCACTTCCTCATCTGTCAAATGGAGTCATCATCCCTGCGCCCTCAGACCCTGTAGACAGAAAAGGGCTAGGCAAGGAGTGGAATGTGCATCCACGGGAGGGGTGTTGGTGACAGTGCTCCTTCCCCTTAAAAGAAGGTCATTAGCTCTTATTGCCTGGGCTGGGGTGACAGGCAGCTGCCTTCCCCACTTGCTCTCTAAGCCTGCCCCACCCCATGCCCATGTATCCCAGTCCCCTGCTTGGTCACACCACCAAGCCTTTACTCAAGCTTTTCCTTCTGCCTGGAGGACAGGTACATCTAACATCTCCTATTCATTTTTCAAAGTCCAACAAAACCCAGCTCGTCTCTGAAGCTTTAGTCCTGGTGGCACAGTGGTTAAGAGCTCGGCTGCTAACCGCAAGGTCGGCAGTTCAAATCCACCAGCCGCTCCTTGAAAACCCTACGGGGCAGTTCTACTGTAGGGTCGCTATGAGTCGGACACACAGACACACACACAGACACACACACATACACACACACACCCAGGCTGAGGTTGTGACACCCCTCTGGGCTCCTATCAGTGGTGTGGTAGAGCCGGCTTAGACCAGCTCAGGACAGGACAGCTGATTGTTGGCATCTCTTCCCAATTCCATGTTTAGTATCTTCATGTTGGTAGCTTGAAATTGGCTGTGATGGAAGTATTTACACCAGGGATATCAGCCAATGCTACAAACAAGGCTTTTTTGAGTCCCTACTATGTGCCAGGCTGGAGATAAAGGAGTGAAAAAGTAGACAAGGCTCTCATAGAGCTTATGTTTGATCTATCATCTTTGTCTCTAACATGTTTATCTCCATCCATCCATCCAACTGTTCTTTCTTCAGTCCTTCTACCATCCTTCTCATGGCGATCCCTCAATGGCAACTAACAACCGACCTTCTACCCATTCATTCATCTATCCTACCCGCCCATCCATGCACCCACGCATCTATCCACACACCCCACCCATTCAGGTACCCATTCACCCACTCATCTATCTGCCCACCCATTCACACTTGTACCCACTCGTCCACCCACCCACCCTGTACCCACTCAGCCATCCATCATCCACGCACCCACCGACTCATTTACCCATCCTTCCAGGTGGGCCAGTCCTTGTCCCTAACTTTTTTGCACTCATGTCTGAGTCTCCTTCAAGGTGGAGTCAGTAAGGAGCCACATGACCCAGGTCAGAACCCCTGTCTAACCCGCAGGCCTGGCACCAGTCTCCAGCTGCCCCCCTTCCCCCCGCCTCTTCTCAGAGCTCTGTGTGCTGCAGAGCTGAGCTGGGTCACTGGGGAGCCTGTGGCTCTGGCAGCACCTGAAACCTGTTGTCCCCAAGAGAGTGAGAAAACCACAGCACACCTTGGCCCAAGTGTTTATAGGTGGGGAGGGCTGCTCACACGTGCAGGAACTGTGGTTTCACACTTGTGAGTCCATCTGAGTCTCATGCACCTGATTCCAGCTCAACAGTCCCACTATTAAAAGCATCAGTGTTCTAGAACTTTCCAGCTCTGCCAGCCACCCCTCCTGACCATGCCATTTTATAGATGAACCACAGAGAAGCTCTCATCTGCACTGACTTCTGACTTCCATCTCAGCCCCTAGCGGAGACAGGCTGAGTGGTCTCACAGGCATCCCACAGCCTAGCTTTGGGGAAGATGAGGTAGCTCCCATTCCAGGCCTGGGGAAGGAGTCCGTTAGGGCTTCAAAGGGCAGAACAGCTGGATTAGACTCTCTGCTGCCTAACCTGCTTGGTCCTGAAAAAACCAAGTTGATGTGGGCACCCTTAGAGGGAAAACAATTTATTTAAATAAAAAAAAAAAAGCACATGGTTTTTATGCTGTGTTCAGGTCAAGTCCAGCTCCTGTACAAAGCTGATGTTCAGTGAGGTGCCTTCAAAACATCGCTCAGAAGTTTTCAGCGGCTCCTTGATTCACATTTCAACAGGCACTCAGAGAAAACAGACAGCACCTTGATTCCCCCCAGCTCCCCAGAACCTGTGCGATGTTGGACTGACCAGAGGCAGCCTGCGCCCGGCCCGGAGCACAAGGTTCTGAAACGGCAGCTTCCTCTGTCTGTCCCCCCCTCGGCACTGTGAGCCACTCTGCGCACACCCAGTGCCTGGCACAGCGCCTGGCTTGGACTTGGTGCTCAATAAATACTTCTTAGGTGCATAAAGGGAATTTTTAAAGGGGCAGCAGGAGTCAGAAAAAGAACTCTTGGTTGGTGGGGAGCTACCCCGAGAGACAGGCTGACCTTCACCTGGAAACCCCCCAGTGCCCCTCTGCAGGTGGGACTGCCCCGCAGGCACCGTGGTCTCTGTTGGCTGGTTTCTCACCCCCACCTACCTCCGGTGCTAGCTGCAGGAGGAAGCTGACGCTGATTGAGGGTCTGCTCTGTCTGCACATAGTACACAGGTGACCTCACTGATTTCTCCCCGAGGTAAGTCATGTCTGTCCCACCGTCCAGACGAGGAGATTGGAGCTCAGAGAGGGATGTAACCTGCCTCAGGCGGCACAGCCAGGCGGCATCAGTGTCAGCTTTCAGACCTAGACCCATGGGTTCCCCAACAGTCACCCCCGCCAGGGATGCCAGGGACTCTCCATCCCCCTCCCTCAGCCCTGAAGTGACAACGAACAGCAGGGACTTCCGGGCAGCCCCTGCGTGCCGCAAGCCAGGGAGGCCAGGTGGCTCTGAGCACGCGCACTGCTCATGCTCGAGCACGCAGGTGAGCTCATGTGAGCAGACACACGCTGCATGGCAACCCACATGCAGATAACCACGAGCGTTCTCTGTGGCCACAGTCCCAAAGGCTGCTCACCACGTGGACATGCAGCATGCACATACACTGTGAACTCAGGTGGCCGTCATGAGACCAAAGACTGCTGACCTCCCATGTCCCAGCCCAGACACCATGTCTCTGGCTCGTGGTCATGGCAGGGCTAGCTCTGGACAGCCAGTTACCTCCCTAGCTGGCCTGGGGCCCAGGGCCTGAAGGTGGAGGGGCCATGACCACCCACTGGCGCAGGTAGCTCCTGGGAGGCCCCTCGTCCCTGGGGCTGGTGAAGCCACAATCCACAGGGCTACCACAGTCGGAGCCTGAGAAGCCGCTGTCAAACGTGTCCATGTCCAGGACGGCTGGAGGTGAGCCTGCCTCACTGTCAAAGACCCCACTGGGCGGCCCACTGCCCCAGGGTGGCTCCGGGTCCCAGCCTGCTGTGTCTTCCAGGGGCAGGTTTAGCCTGTCCAGGAAGCTACCCAGGGGGCCTCCCAGCCCAGGAGGGCTGCCGACCGAGACGCAGCCGCAGGAGAGGACTGTGGCCCCTGTGCCCAAGAGTGAGTCCTCAGTGCCCAGGCCAGGCTCCAGGCTGGTGTCCAGGTTCAGGGCTGGGTAGCCGTTGTCCCCACAGCTGCAGGCCCAGGTGCACGGCCCCTCTGCATCCACCACGGTCACTGTGTCAATGGACACCAGGCCGTACGGCCGATCCCTCTCCTCGCTGTAAGCAGAGCCGTCCAGGCTGCCGGCCGCAGAGGGGGCTGGACCCCAGGAGCCCGGCTCGGGCACCCCGTCAGTTTCCAGCACATCTGCAGGCTCCGGCAGCTCTGTGGGCACCGGCCCCTTCCCTGGGCTCTGTGATGGGCAGCAGCTCCGCACCTCCAGGGTCGCAGGCACCCCCGGGGCCCCGGGTCGGAGCTCCAGGCTAGAGGCAGTGAAGGGTACGCCCACCCACTTCTGTGAGGAGACAGAGAGAGAGAAAGTGAGTTATGGGATGGGGTGGGCGGGGGGTATAAACAGACAGACAGACAACAGCAGAGACAGACACTGAGATACAGAGACCATGCAAAGAGATAGCAAGAGAAAAAGAGACATGGAGAGAGACAAAGTCGCAACAACAGACGATAAAGAGACAGATGACTCGGGACCATGACATGCCCCTGTGCGGTGGCGACATCACCAGTGTCCCTGCCCCTCTCTGGGCGTCAGTTTCCCCACCGGTGGCTCGGGGTCAGTGTGGGTGCAGGGCCCAGATTCCCGAGCGGGGGGACATGGAGCAGGCGGGCCTGAGGTCTGAGCGACCCATGTTTCCTTGCTTTGGTCACATCCCTCACAGCCTGACCTTCTCTTGTGTGTGGTTTCCACTAGAACAGACACGTGACCAGTGGCCAGGGCAGAAACTCGGCACTTCTGTTCACTGCTGTTTCCACAGTGCCAGGCACACAGGAGGTGCTCAATACATGCTTATAACTGAATGAATGAGTGAAGTGAACAAATGACAGGTGGTGTGGGAAGGACTCTGTCCACTTTGTGGGTAAAGGTGATGATGTGGGTGACTGAGGCAAAGGGCCTTAAGCTTTGAGGACCATCCTCTAGCCGCCAGGGGTCCCCCTCATGATGCAAGGGTCTCCATCCAATTAGCAGAGAAAAATCCCTGTGAGCTGGAATCTCCCAGTTTTGAGTCTTCCCTCTCTGAAAGCTCGTTTCAGAACCCAGCAACGGGGCCACCACCAATTTGAAGTCACTTCTCAGCTGTGTGGCCTTGGGTCAGTTACCTACCCTCTCTGTGCCTCAGTTTCCTCATCTGTAAAATGGGCCTAATAATAGTAGCCACCCCATCAGGCTGTTGTGAGGATTAAATGAGCTAGTACGTGTGAAGCTCCTAAAGCCGGGCCTGGGCCACAGCAAGCGCCATATGAGCATTTATAAAATTAATAAAAAATAATGTGCTATTAGAGCTTCGGAGTCCTGGTGGCGCAGTGATTAAGAGCTCGGCTGCTAACCGAAAGGTCAGCAGTTTGAATCCACCAGCTGCTCCTTGGAAACCCTATGGGGCAGTTCTTCTCTGTCCTTCAGGGTCATTGTGAGTTGGGATCGACTCGGTGACAATGGGTTTGGTTTGATTTTTGTATTAGAGCTTCAGGTGAAGTGCAGAGGAAAGAGAAAAGGGTTTGGGGTCATTCCCATAAGGGTTGGACTCCAGGGTCCTCCCTGCCCCAATGAAGCCCCTCCCCTCTCTGAGCTCAATCTCCTCTTTGGTCCAGGAGAACAATGAGGCGCCCACCCTGCAGGGCTGCCATGGGCATGAGGGAGGGGAGGCTGAGGGTGCTTAGCACAGTGCCAGGCCGACAGCAGGAGCTCGATCGGCACTTGTCGTCTACATTTCCGGGCTTCCAAGCGCGACAGGTGAAGGTGGGGCTGCCCCTCCCGGCCCCTCACCACCACATCCTCTCTGCCCTGGCCCCTTCCGCCCCCGCCGGGTGGGCGAGAGCCGGAAACAGGTACAGATAACCCTGTGGGCGCAGCGGGTGACAGAGGTGGCTGGGGCTTGGGAGGTGGGTGTGTTTTGCAGGCGGGGTCATACCCTCTGCAGAGCCCTCTTCCTCTCCACCCCCTTATCAAGAGCATCTGAGACAGAACCAGGAGGCCACCTGTGGCTCTAGCTAGAGGTGGAAGGCTACAGGGACCCCCTGCTCACCCTCCCCCAACGTGACTCCTTGGGGTGGGAAATGATGAGTGATCGTGTTTAAGGTCCGCTCAGCCCAAGACTGATTCCTTCCACTGTGCAGATGGGGAGACCGAGCTCGTACTCGAGGTGTGGCCGGGACCTCCCCTGGCCTGCAGGGTGGGACTAGGGCCCACCCTCCACTGTCTCCTGGGGTGAGGGTGGAGAAGGGCTCCAGAGAGGGTGAGAGACTAGGTGGTAGGGGTCTCACCTTGAAGTCCCCACTGTGGCCGTCATACAGGGGCTGGAAGAACAGTTCTGGGCTGGGCACCTGCACCCACACTTTCTTCCACAGCCTGCAGGACCAGAGAGACAGGTGAGGCCCCCACATCGCCTCCTGCAGGACCTTCCCCAACTCCGTCCCAAGACACAGCCCAGGCACCTCCCTTCCCTTCTCGGGCCTCAGTTTCCACATCTGTAAAATGGGAGCAGCAAGCCTCCCTCACAGGTTCCTGAAGGTGCATTGAGTTTAAGGGCTTGGTCAGCTATTCAGTGCTGGGCAAATGCTGCCCCTTCTGAGCCTCAATTTTTCCCTTGCCAGCCAGGGATGGCCATGTGCCAACTCCACAGGCAGTGGTGGGATGCCGAGTGACAGCCAGCACCCACGAGAGTGCTCCACGACATCAGTCCGTGTCAGTACCATTATCTCTGGCCCTGAATTTGTCTGTCTTTGTCTCTGTGTCTGGAGGAAGATGAACAAATGAGCCCATGTATGCGGGGCCCCCGCCCAGGGCCTGCCACTTAGCGAGGACTCAGAAAACTGCAGCCACGGGTCTTGCTTCAACCAGCATCACTGGACCAGGCCAGTGGGTTTTAAAATTTATCTGTAATCAGCAGTACCCTATGACAGTGTTCCGCAGAAATCCCAAATGTAAAACAGATGAAAGCAAAACAGCTCTGGTTGAAGCAGAAGGGATGGGCGGAGGTGGATAATCCCACCAACCCCTTCACACCCACCTGGTGGCCCTGCTGCCCCTCCAGCCCTGGGTGGGTCACAGCGAGGCTGCGGCCAGGCTGACCCCTTCCTGACTCCTAGCCTCACCTCCAAGGCAGGTGGTACTTCAGGCCCAAGAAGACAAGGACAGGGAATGCAATGATGAAGAGCAGAAGGTGAAGGAGCTGTCCTCTGGTCCCTCCCTCTGTCTCTGGGAAGAAAGCAAACCACGGGCTAAAGTGAGCTAACAACTTCCACCAGGGACCACATGGGGCAGGTGCAGTGGGAAAATGGGTCTGGTGTGGGGTGAAAGCGGGTGGGGAGGCTGCTACTGAAGGGTGGTGCCTTGAACTGAGATGGATCTGGGTTCAAATCCTGCTCCCACCTCCACCCCTGACAAGTGACTTCATCTCTCTGAGCCTCAGTTTCCTCATCTACAAAACGGGGGTTACAATTCCCCCTTCACAGAGTTATCAGGAGGATCAAATGCCCTGGTGGGAGAAGCACCTAGCACCCAATGCAGGGCCCAGCAAGCAGGGGCTCCAGAAATGTGGTTGAATTGCAGACGAGATGATTGTACTGGCTACAATCAGGTGAAAACTTCCCAGCAGTGCAGAAATCACAGGGCTGGCTAGCTGGACTGAGGCCAGACCAGTACCAGGAGGGGGTGTCCACCCCAGCATCACACCTACCATCTGGCTGGGTTTGAAAGATGGCTGGGTCACTCCACTCGCTCCAGGTCCCCTGGAAGGAGGAGCCAGGCTGGGGCCCTGCCCGTATCTGCACCTCGTAGCTCGAGCCTTTGTGGAACTCCAGGGGAAGGAGGGAGACACTTCTCGAGTCCACGGAGACCAGCTTCCTCCCTGGACTCTGCCAGCAGGTGGAACAGATGCACTGGGTCAGGGTTTAACCAGGCCAGCCTCCTGCCCCCAGCACAACCGCCTTTACCAGCTCAGGTCAAAGAGGCTAGTTTCTCCTGCTCAGTCTCTTATCTCCCCACAAGAATCAGGCACAGGCCTGAGTCCCAGCCACCCAGGTGTGGGCAGCATAGAGTTCTTGGCACTGCCTTGGCCTTGCCTGTGACACAAAGCTGTGTTCTGTTCCCCCTTTATCCCAACTCATCCCTCACAGCCCTGGCAGGGGACCCTCTCTGCTGGGACTAGGAATGTTCTAGAAGTGGCAATTGCTACACCTAAAAACCTTTAACTAGAAGCATTCCAAACAGGGGACACTTCTGGAATTCCTCAACATCGGACATTCTCAATAGTGGGCGTTTCTGGAAGTCTTCCACTTTAGACATCTTAGTAATGGGTACCTCTGGCCATCTACCAGGGACATTGTAAACAACGGCACTCATGAAAATCTTCACTGGGACCATTCTGGATGATGGGTCATTCCAGCATTTTTAGCTGTGAATATTCTAAATACCGGGCCATTCTGGAACCCCAACAATGGACGTTCCAAACAAGGAATACCTCTAGAAGCCTTCCCATTTGAAACAATGGACCCTCTAACAGTGGACAGTTTAATTACTGATGCTTCTGGAACTCTTAAACTATGGCCACTCTAAGAAGTGGGAAGGTTCCAGATAGCCCCGGTCACTTCTGAGTCTTTATATTTTTCTATTTTTTTATTCTGACTTTTAGGCTTGCTAGTTTCCTTTGTGGGTTACCTTAATATTTACCCCTATTTTTCTAAGTTTATACCAGTCTTTTATTTCTTTATATCACCTTGACTTCCTCTCCAGATGAAAAATCTATGTCTACATTTTTTAAGTCCCTCTTTCTTGTTTTAATGTTGTCATCTTTTACGTCTTGACATCTGTTTCCCTATTTTCAGTGTTTCAGCTTTGATTTACTTTTGTGACTTCCTTATCTGGGTTGATACTTGGTTGCTCTGTCCTGTGTTCTAGTCTTGGATTGTTATCTGATGTTACTGATTTTCTAACTAGAGGACTCCCTTTAGTATTTCTTATAATTTTGGTTTGGTTTTTGCAAATTCCCTAAACTTCTGTTTATCTGGAAATGCCCTAATTTCGTCATCATATTTGAGAGACAGTTTTGCTGGATATATAATTCTTGGCTGGCATTTTCCTTCAAGGCTTTATATATGTCATCCTATTGCCGTCTTGCCTGCATGGTTTCTGCTGAGTAGTCCGAGCTTATTCTTTTTGACTCTCCTTTGTAGATGACTTTTCGTTTATCCCTAGCTGCTCTTAAAATTCTGTTTATCCTTGGTTTTGGCAAGTTTGATTATAATATGTCTTGGTGACTTTCTTTTGGGATCTACCTTATGTGGGGTTCGATGAGCATCTTGGATAGATATCGTCTCATCTTTCACGATATCAGGGAAGTTTTCTGCCAACAAATCTTCAACAATTCTCTCTGTATTTTCTGTTATCCGCCTTCCCCACCCCCCACCGTACTGGTACTCCAATCACTCGCAAGTTATTCCTCTTGATAGAGTCCCACATAATTCTTAGGGTTTCTTCATTTTTTTAAATCTTTTTATCTGATTTTTCCTCAAATAAGTTGGTGTCAAGTGCTTTATCTTCAATCTCACTAATTCTGACTTCCATTGCCTCAATTCTACTCCTATGACTTTCCATTGAGTTGTCTAATTCTGAAATTTTATTGTTAGTCTTCTGGATTTCTGACTGCTGTCTCTCTATGGATTCTTGCAGCTGCCTTGGTCACTTCTGGAACTCTTCAAGTATGGCCACTCTAAGGAAGTGGGAAGGTTCTAGATTCCCTGGGTCACTTCTGGAACTCTTCAAGTATGGCCACTCTAAGAAAGTGGGAAGGTTCCCGATTCCCCGGGTCACTTCTGGAACTCTTCAAGTATGGCCACTCTAAAGAAATGGGAAGGTTCCAGATAGCCCTGGTCACTTCTGGAACTCTTCAAGTATGGCCACTCTAAGGAAGTAGGAAGGTTCTGGATTCCCCAGGTCCCTTCTGGAATGCCTTCTTTTGTGACTGTACTAAGACTCGAGGTAGAACCTGGGGCAGCAGCCTTCCTCTTGGCATGCTGGTGGGGGAGGGAACAGGAATGGGAAGGAGAGAATAACAAGGGGTCTCCTACCCCAGGTGGAGGCTCGGGGCAGGGCAGCACCGAGTGAGAACCTCCTATAAGAGAGGGACCCCTTGGTGTGTGTGTGTGTCCTTGGTGTCCACTCTTGCTCGTGAGCGACAAAGGTTGCCTGTCTCTCAGATTGCCCCCCTCCAACCTGGATGACCCACACACCCTCCCCCTTCCACCCTTCTCCCACAGCTGGGCAGCCAGGTCCCCTGCCTTCCTCACCAGAGCCCAGGGGGCGCCCCGGTTCCTGTACTGCAGCTCATATTGCAGCTTGCCCTTGAGTGCGGAGGAGGCAGGGTCATCGTAATCCGAGCTCCAGGAGATGTTATACTGCTCCGAGAAGGTCACAGTTACATTGAAGGGGGGAGATGGCTTGACTTAGAGGAAAAAGCCAGACACATAAAAACAGGGGTAAGATTTTACCTCAGGTGGGAAAGATTTGGTGACAGGAAGAATTTCCCCCCGGCCTGACCCGTTACTTATGAGATCAGGGCTATGACTTTGGACAAAGCATCACCTGTCTCTGGGCCTCAGTTTTTCCATCTGAAAAATGAGAGACTTGCACTACACTGAGTCTGCAAACTCAGACGCCTCCCTGGCCAGGCAGGTAACGGAAATGAGTGAAGCAGGTTGGGGATTGTGGGAAAAGAAAGACATTCCCAGTCTACAGGGGCACGGCCACGATTCAGCCTGGGTCCACCATGGCCAGGCAGGGATGCAGACCAGGGGGCCAAATCTTCAAATCTTCTGTGTTTTCAAGAAAGTAAAGCAACTCCTGGAAATCCAGATCATCAAGTGAAATCTCTGAAGTTTTAAACCTTAGCTACTAATCCAAACAATTTCTAAGCAGATCTACCCATTTTCAATTTCTGTTCTAAATGACTGTGTAATTTTGTTTTAACCCCAAAAGTCAGAAGGCTGTGACGAGCATTAATGCTAATGATGAAATGGGCCATTGACCTAGCGCCTGCCCTGTGCTGCTTTGCCCTTGGCAGTGTGACACCCTCAGGGACCCTGGTGTGACTGTTCGTATCGTACAGTCATCTCCTGACAGCTGAAGGGACTCACCCAGGGGCTCCTGCTGGCAAATGGAAAGCAGAGATCTGGACCCACAACCTCAAAAAGCATCACCAATGCCCACAGGCAAAGGTCCAAAGCTTGGGGTTCCAGTTTTGCTCCATCACTAATTTGTTTTATGAACTTGAGCAAGACATTTCATGCCATAATCTCCTCTCCTGAAAAATAGTATCGATTTCTATTTCATGGGGCTTAACATTCACAAGTACCATGCCAAAGGTTAGGAGAGACCTCCAGGGAACAGAATGACAAGTGGTCTATTGGTGAAAGAGAGAAGTGCTCAGCCCTGCCCTTCCCACTGTCACCATCTAATATTCTACCCATTTTACTCTGTAAGTTTGTGTACCCTCTGCCTCCCTCTCTGGTGATGCTGGAAGCTGTGCCACCAGTATTTCAAATACCAGCAGGGTCACCTGTGGTGGGCACGTGACAGCAGAGCTTCTAGACTAAGACAGGAAGAAAGGCCTGGTGATCTATTTCTTAAAATTAGCCAATGAAAACCCTGTGAATCATAATAGAATACTGCTTGATACAGTGCTGGAAAGGTGAGGCGCTCGAACTACACAATGACCGCAACAATGGACTTGAGCGTACCGATGATCGTGCAGATGGTGCAAGACCAGGCAACATGTCATTCTGTTGTACGTGGGGTCACAATGAGTTGGCGCCCACTCGATGACACCTAACAACAACCCTCTCTGGGATCTTGCACCTGGGAGCGGGGGTTTTGTCTGCCTGGCTCATGCTGTGCCGATGTTGGCTCCAAGAGAGGCACCTGGCGCACAGCAAGCGCTCTAGAAACAGTTGTTGAATTAATCGATGAACTTTTCAGGGGTTCCACAAAGGAACTCTGAAGCTCCTTACGATTCTGAAAGCCCTCCCGGGGCTCCAATCATAACCTGTGTTGGGAAAAGACCTCACTTTGAGGAATAGCACCAGGTGTGATGTGGTGGAGGTGGTGCTGTCGCTATTATGATGGCAGTGATGGGTCCTGTTTGGGGGGAATAGTTCCGGCTCCGTCTCTTCCCTTCCTGTGGGCAGGTCATGCTGCCTGGGCTGGGGCACTGGCTAGTGGCCAGAACTGATTAAAGGAGACGCTAGATAACTAAGAATGGCCTGCGGGACCTCACGGGATGTTTGCAGAGCCTGGGAGGCATGACTGGGGGCTCCCCGCCCAGGGAGGCCAGGGGCCCAGGAGGGGGCGGCCAGGGGCAAAAGACCACTCTCCGCCACAGCTGGGCCCAGCCTGGCCTCAGGCCCTGGCAGGGAGGAAAGGAGGGAGGGGGCCAGAGAGAAATGCACCCACCTTAGGGGGTGGCAGCGGGGCAGCCCCTCATCCACCTGGGCGCCTCTGCTTCTGGGAGACACGGGAGGTGGGAGAGGGCTACCAGCTCAGCTCACCCAGAGAGGCAGGAGGGCTCCCCTGCTCACCAGGCGTGCGTGTGGGAGTCAGCTCAGCACATCTGGATCTGTGTGGCTATGTGTGACTCAGTGGGCATCAGTGTCCCTGCCTCTAGGCCAGGGGCTGGTGGGACATCTGCAAGTTTATCTAGGGGTACATTTATAGGGGTGTGTGCGTGAGAGAGAGAGAGAGGGTGAGCTCCGGCTCTGTGTACCCATGAATGTGTGTGAGTCTGTGTGTGTCTGGGGTCTGTGTGTGTGTGTGGAGCTTCACTCACACCTTCTATGGCGCAACACTGGCAAACTGGTGCAAACCTGGACCCCAAGTGTGAATCACAGAGCCCGCATATCCCCCTGCCGGCCCCACCACTGGGAATCTAGGGACAGAAACTCCCAGACCTCGGGGTTGGGCAGGGCCTCTTTGCAGTACGTGTTTGCATGCCTTTGGGAAGGGATCTCTCATCTCCTCCCTAGACACCCCGCTCCCTAGACACCCCACTACCTAGACACCTCACTTTGGGTACACATACACACACACACACACACACACAAAAGCTGCCTTCTGGACTCTTCCCTCCCCTGGCTTTGATCCACAGATACAACTGCTTCCAACAGCAGCTGCCTGCCCCTTGGGTCCTGCCGTACCTCTAGCCAGGAGGGAAATTCCAGGCCTCACTGGAGCTAATAAGGGAAACTCAGGTTTTTCCTTGTGACTTCCACTTGGCTCATCATGGGGTCAAGGTTAAAAGGACCTTCACTCTATAAATGGAGAAACTGAGTCCCAGAGGTGGGGTGTGCCTTGTCTAAGGTCACACAGGTAAGGGCTGAGTTGGAACTGAAGCCCATTAAGTCCTAGCTCCCAGCCCAGCTCCTTTCCACATCTCTGCCACCTTTGTTGGGGCTCAGGTCCAAACATAATATCAACCCATCACACCTTAGTAAAAAATAGTGAATCTGGTCAGTTCTCTGTTGCCTTGATAACAAGCAGCAGAACTCAAAGAGGTGGTGAAGGCATAGGACACATCAGTTTTGGTGAAGGAAGGAGAGTTGGCACTGAGGGCAGGAAGACAGGGCCCGGTCCCCACCTGGGATCTCCTCAGCTCTGGGGACCACGGGGTACTCACTAATCTCAGCCAGGACAAAGCTGCCACACTCCTGGGAGTGTTTGCCAGACTGGTCTGTCATGTTGACGCTGAACACATCGTCGGCCATGAAGCAGGACACATCCATGTGGCACGTGTACCATGCGTGCGTGGCGTTGTGACCAGACAGGTGGAGGCTGCAGGAGATGACCTCATCTTCCAGTTCTCTGTATAGGTCTTGCCTTCAAGGACAGAACAGCCAGTCACAGCCGGAGCCGGTGGGGCTCAGCACGCAGCACCAGGGCAGAGGCTAGAATCTCGGGGCTGGGAGGGACCTGCAGTGGGGCTGGAGGTCACCTGGTCCAACGAATCCTTCCCGAGGCAGGTACCCTCCCCTCTGCGTGGATGGTTCCAGGCTTGGCTTGCATGTCTCCAAGAACTCACTACCTCATTTAGGGCAGCAAATCTCAACTTTAGAAATTTGGGGTCATTCTTGATTGGATTGGGCCTAAATCTGCCTTGTCATTTCCTCCAACTGGATTGCTGTTCTACAGGAGGCATTTCAGGCCTCTTTCCCTACCTCCCTCCAACACCTGCAGAATACCTATTAGGTGCCCGAGCTGAGGGCGAGGGCTAAATATCAGCTAAATGAACCTTATTCCCTGCTTTAGGGAAACTGCTGGGGCAGCTGGTGGGGGGCTGGGGGAATATTCTAGCTTTTTTGCTCCCACTGAGAAGAAATAATGCGTTTTGAAGTATGTATAGGAGTTCACCAGACATTTACTTCTCTACACACATATTGGAGCCCTGGTGGTGTAGTGGTTAAGAGGTAGGCTGCTAACCAAAAGGTCAGCAGTTCAAATCCACCAGCTGCTCCTTGGAAACCCTATGGGGTAGTTCTACTCTGTCCTACAGGGTCGCTATGTGTTGGAATTGACTCGGCAGCAGTGAGTTTCTTTTACACATATACTTAGGCTCTGAACACCCTCCAAGGTCAGTGTTGATGTGTGTCTGGTAGATGTGTGGACTCAGTTCTCTGTTACACGTTTGCTGAATATACAAACTTCTGCTGAATAAATGCTCTCCAAACCTCTGGTCTGGACCACTACAGTGGATGCCTGGCTGATGTCCCTGCCTCTCCCGTCCTCCCTCCCTGCTACCTATTCCTCTCCAACAGCAGCCAGTGGGAGCTTTACAAACTGCCTGTCACTCCCCTGCCTAAAACCCTCACCACCCAGACAATAAAATCTGGCCCCTGCTGACCTGGCTGCCTTCTTTGCTTATTATTCTCCCTCGCTCTAGCTCACACTGGCCTCCTCACTCTTCCTCAAATTCACATTTGCCCTGCCGTGCCCGCTGCCTAGAGTGCCCTTTCCCCAGCTCCCTGGCTGCCTCTTGGTCCCGAGAGTGCCCTGGCCACCCTCCCCATGTCCCTCACTCTCTACCCAGTGTTACCTTTTCTTTGTAGCACTCATTGTTGTCAGGAAGTATCCTGTTTGTTGTTTATGTACTTATGTCTGTCTTCCCCACCCCTCCCCGCCATAGTATGTCAGCTTCTAGAGGTCATGGACCTTGTCAGCCTTGAACTCTGCTGAATCCCCAGAGCCTGCAACAGTGTCTGGCAGGAGCTTAATAAATGTTTTATGAATGAATGAATGAATGAATTGATAGATGATAAAATGCAATCCAGCTAGTTTTTTCCTGAGCTACATATGCCTATGGATTTTGTCGTCAGACTGCCTTCATCTGAATCCCAGCTCCACCATTCACTGGCTGTGTGACTTTGAGCCAGTTGCTTACCCTCTCTGAGTGTTATTTTCCCCATCTGTAAAATGGATCTAATGAGACCTCTCTTACTGGGTTATTGTGAGGATTGGAAGTGATAAGTCATAAGAAGCCCATATCATGGCGCCTGGCACATAGTAAGGGCTCAAAATAGGTCACGTGGGGCGCTGGCTCTCCTGGGGTCTCAAAACCGTTCTCAGGCTGCGGGGGCAAGAGAGTATGGCCTCCGGCGTCGGACAGTGAAGCTCTGGGCAAGTCCCGTGAGCCCACGTGGTCATCTGTAAGGTAGGGGTGGTGAGTCCTACCTCACAGAGCCATTCTCCAAGTGAAACCAACTGCCGTGGGAAGCGGCAGCTGTTATTTTATTGCTAAGCCACTTGCCTGACACACAGTAGGTCCGACTCAAGCTGTGGGCTCCTGTGCTCCTGCCCAAACACAGCCGTCCTTGCTCCCTCTCCATGCCTTCAGAGTGGATCCACTTACCAGGTGAGGGCGAGCGTGCGGAGGCGGGGGCTCCAGGTCTCCAGGGTGCAAGTGATCGTCTGGAGGTAGTCGGTGTAGCAGGCAAGGTCTGAACAGCCCCAGGCTGGAGGGTCAGGGGAGAGAGAGGCCTTGGTTCGGGGCTGGCCGGGGCTGCAGGGCATGGGAGTGAGACTCCCCTCTCATCCTCTCGAGAGTGGAGGATGAGTGGAAACAGGGCTTCCAGGGCCTGGATGATCCAAAGGTCCTAGAGGTCCCTCATATGTAAACCTGAGGCGAGGGGGTCCTCGCCATCTGGAAATTCCTTGTTTGAACCCCAAAATTTCAAGACTGGTTATGGAGACAAGACACTTCCCAATGTGCAATATAATAAACTCAATGGGTCCCCAGCCCAGCATCCCCGTCCCCTCCCTGAGCCCTGTCTCCAGCCACAAGCGTGGCTGGCATTTCTCCTGACCAGTCTCCTACCCAGCGTGACACCCCCTGAACACCCCACAACACAGGGCAAACCCAGGGCAGCGCAAAACCACACATCTCGCGAGAGGGTCAGGACTTCATGAAGCCAGAGAAAGGGAAGCCTGACAAGGGATTTTTAGTTTTATTTTATAAGATCAAGTGCCAATGCCACCAGCAGCAACTCTGCTATGTACTGGGAATTGCGTTCCCTTTCTAAAGTGGATGCATTTAACATCGCTTTTTCCTATTTTTTTTCCCACTAATGAAGACCCATGGGTCTCACTCTAGGTCAGAACCTGGATTGAGAACCGAGAACACTACTGACCGATCCTTTAGTCCAGCCCCCGCGTCCATTTTATAGATGAAAATACCAGAGCCTGAAGACTCGGCCACACCTCTTACGTCTTTTGGTCTGGGCTGCCGAGACTCTCACCCAGCGATGGCAGAACCTAGTCTGTGCTGCTGATTTTTCACATCCACACAGGTGGCAGACATTGCTAATCTATCGTGATGCTCTCTCCCTGGATGTGGCCTCAGAATCCTTCTCAACACAGCTCCCCAGACAGCCACTATCAAGCAGTCTGAATCATGGAAATGAATTCTGTTCTAGGAGGGGGCTTCCCTTGGGGCGGCACACAGGGCCTATCAGCGGGACTGAGAGGGGCTAGTTCAGGCACTTGTGGACAAAAGAGGACTGATTGGGCTGGTCTGAAACCCAGGGCTGCAGGAGCCACTGCATGGCTATGTCTTCTCCAAGCTTACTTCCTGGGTGTTCTTTCAAAGGGCTCCGGAAACTTGGAAAGGAGCTGCCTTTCCCAGCTGGGCTCCAGGCCACCAAGGTACAGGGTTAGTTCCCAAGCTTGGGATAAAATATTGGGGGCCAAACTAGCATGGAGGTGGCACCGGGGAGCACGGGGCAGAGACGCCCCCTAGGGCCTTCGCACGCCTGAGGTTATGAAAGCATCATGGCAGTGAGAAGCCATGCAAAGTATGACCATGAACTCAAACCCTGTTTGTAAGCTGGTGATGCTGACCGCCCCCCACCCCCAGCGCTGTTGAGGCGTTTAGGCGAGGTCACACAGTGAAGCCCACGGTGCCTGCACGTGGAAGTCTCAATAGATGGCAGCTGAGTCGAGTGGTTAAAACCACAGGAGTCAGGCCGACTCAGGAACTGGCCCCAGCTCTGCCACTGCCCCCGTGTGACCATGGACCTGCCCCTTATCTTCTCTGAAGCCCAGTTTCCTTAACTGAAAAATGGGCACCAGGGCAGCCTGGACCTCCCAGGGCCATCAGGAGCCTGGAACAAGACTGGGCTCAGCGGCTGGGATACAGCAGTACCAATGCCAGTACCAGCTGCCATGGAGTCAGCTCTGACTTGTGGCGACCCCATGTGTGTCAGAGTAGAACTGCGCTCCATAGGGTTCTCAGTGACTGATTTTTCAGAAGAAAATCACCAGGCTTTTCTTCCGTGGCACCTCTACCAATAACCAAACCTGGTGCCGTTGAGCTGATTCCAACTCATAGCGACCCTATAGGACAGAGTAGAACTGCGGCGCCTCTAGGTGGACTCAAACCTCCAACTTTTCGGTTAGCTGTCAAGCACGTTAACTGCTTGCACCACCCACCACTCCAGGGGCTTTTTATTTGCATTCATGGGTGTGCAGCCATCGCGGGTGGCCTGAAGGCCTTTTACAGCCAGGACAGGCGCTGGCCACTCCGAAAGGGAAAATAAAAGAGCTGACATCTGTTTCCTGAAGGAGCTATTTGAGATGCTGGGTCTTTTGGTAAAAACCAGAGAAACGCGGATGAGTCAGCAGTGGTGGCTGACCACCTTCCCTGCCCTGTCCAGCCTCCATTCACGCCCATGTGCTACGCCCCACCTCCCCACAGCCACCTCCTCTGGGGAGCTCTCCTGGGTCTCCCAGCCCCGGGCAGCTCCCCTTCAGTTGGACTCCTGGAATTCCCCATGCCCAGAAATCCCAGCTCTGATCACTAATGTCTTTCCCTCGGGCTGTGACTTCTCATCTTTCAGGGGCTGCCATCCCTGGCTCTCGCTCTTTTTTGCCTCCACCGAAGCCCTCAGAATACATGGTGCCCTCTGAGGACCTAGTGATTGTTGCAAAACAATCTCCAAGGAGAGTCATTACAAAAGGAGAAACTGAGGTTAGGCCAAAGGCAGGACTTCCTCACTCTCAGGGTTGGGAGCCAGCCAAGGCAGACAGCATTGGAAACAAAGGCTGGAGTCTCTCATCCCCCAGGAAGGGCTTGAAGGCCCAAGCCCGTGGGCTGGGTCATTTTGGGACATGAGCACCCCATTTCTGGTTAACAGAGTTCTCTGGTTGAATGGGTTCTGGCTAAGAGAGAGCAAGCTCTTTGACCTTGTCAGCCTCAAGTAAAGAGAAGCCACAGACTCTGGCCCCATAGCCTCCAGCCATGCTCCTGCTAGGCTCTGTCGAGGGAGATGGCCCCCTCCCCATCTGCAGGCCCTCGAGGCAGCTACTTACCACCCTGAAGCATCAGCAGCAGGAAGGGGGTGGCCCAGCCACTCAGCATGCTGACTCCCACACCCTGGAAAAGACGCAAGGGTTTGTTTTTGTTTTGCTCTTTACAAGAGCAGATTGACAGGTCTCTTCTCCTGCAGAGCTGCTGGTGGGTTCAAACCACCGACCTTTCCGTTAGCAGCCAAGTGCTTAATGATTGCAACACCAGGGCTCCATCATAATGTCATTGGCAGAATTAAATTAGTCAATACTTCTAAAACATTTAAAACAGTGCCTGGCACATAAACCAAAACCCGTAGTCGCTAAGTCGATTCTGACTCATAGTGACCTTATAGGACAGAGTAGAACTTCCAAGGAGTGGCTGGTGGGTTTGAACTGCTGACCTATTGATTAGCAGCCAAGCTCTTAACCAGTGCACCACTAGGGCTCACATAGTAGGTGTTATTTAACTGTTTCTTAAGCAAAACAGTCAACTTACCATAAAACTAAATACAATGAAATGTAAAAACTAAATATAAGGAAAACCAAAGACTGCATTTTAGCAGGATACTGTTGCCTTCCTAGTACTCATGGGAGTTAGGTGATTTGCTTTGCCTTTGTTAAAAAAGAAGGATCAGAGGGTATCAGATCAGTGTTTAAGGCATACTAGCAACAAACTGAGACTCATCCCTCCATCATCAGGACTGACGGGCTGAAAAGTATCTAACTCTCTCACTACAGGGCTCAGGGACATTTCATGCTAAAATAAGCCCCTGGCTTTTGGACATCAGCCTTGAACGATGACTGCTTCTCCATCATGCCCTATTTGGGCTCCTACAGCACCAAGTGGGGACTCCTCCCTGTCCCACTGCCCACCCTGCCATAAGTCCATCCTTCTGAGTCTTCCCACTCGGGCAACAACTTACTCCCCAGTGCCAAGCAGAGACCTCCATGCAGATCAGATGACCAGGTGTGTTTCTTGAATGAAGGACAGAGGTGCCCTAAGGGCTTTCCTGCTATGGGAGCCCCTGCAGCTCTCTGTCCCTTGGGGCTCCTGCTAAGGGGAAGAGCCCCTGACTTGGAGTTCGTTGGGTCCCAGCTGTGAGTCCTTGGACAAGTTACCTGACCCCTCTGATCCTCAGTTTGCTCATTTGTAAAATGTGGGTCATGAATCTGTACTGTAAGTTTGTTGCAAGCACTAAAGAAATACTCCACATGAAGCACTCCACACAGTGCTGGGTTGCTGGATGGGATGGGGTCCTGGAGAGGGGCTTATCCGCCAGGCTCTAAACAAACAAACAAAAACCCGTCGCTGTCGAGTCGATTCTGACTCCTAGCGACCCTGCAGGACAGAGTCGAACTGCCCATAGGGTTTCCAAGGAGCGGCTGGTGGATTCCAACGGCCGACTTTTTGGTTAGCAGCCAAGCTTTTACCCATTGCACCACCAGGGCTCCTAAACCAAAAAAAATCCATTGTCATCGAGTCGATTCCAACTCATAGCTGGGATTGTGGTAATTCAGACTAAAAATTAGCCAGATTTCAGAAGCTTCTGGGGAAGTAGAGAGGATTCCGACCAAAAAACCAAACCCACTGCCATCAGGTCACTTTGAGTTAGAATTGACTCAACGGCAATGGGTTTTAGAGAGGCTTGGGGATAGGAAATCAGATAGTGGTAAGTCCTTTGGAGACCATGAAGAGCTAAACTTCCCCAGTCAACAGGGTATTGTAAATAAAAACCACAATGACATACTATTTTAAGTTTATCAGATTGGCAAAAACTAGAAGGTTTGACATCACATGTTGCTGAGATAAGGTGTGACAGTGACTCTCATTCACAGGTAGGGGAGATGTGAACTGGTACAAATGGTCTGGCAAACAGTTTGGCAGGATCTAATAAATATGAACAAGCGCCTACCCTAAGAACTAGCAACTTCATACCTCCGTACACTCCTAAAGAAACTCTTGCATGTGTGCACAAGAAGCATACAGATCAATGTTTGTAGCAGCATTGATATCAATAGTGAAAAACTGGAAACAACCTAAATGTCCATCAGCAGGAGAATGGCAACATAAATCATGGCCTAATCACTCATGTGAAAATGAATCCCTTACAGCTACACAACAAAAAGCCAATGACTCTCACAATCAAAATGTGGACAGAAGAAAAGT